GCTGTTTGCCGAAAGTGTGGAATAGTCAACAGGTTAAAGAAGTAGTGAGTGAAGTGTGTGATGTATACAAACTAGAAACAGTTTCTCTTTTTTTAGAACTTTGGCAAATTACTGCCAAATATTACTTTAGACTTTCTGAGTAGGAAACTGGAATATGGAGGAATTGAAAAGGTATTCTGTGTTGCTTCAGTGTATCTGCTTTCTAGTCAAGAAAAGGGCCATAATCACACCACCTTTAACTTTTTTTTTTTCTCTTTTCCTTTTAAGCAATCGTTTGACCTACAGCCAAACATGGAGAACCCGCCTCCATACCCAGGCAATGGCCCGACTGCTCCTGGTTACCCAGCCCAGGGCCCACCACCTCAAGGCTACCCAGGGTATCCTCAGCAGGGATACCCTGTGAACATGGAGCAACCTAACCCAGCTTACCCGAACTACCCTCCCGGACCAATGGGACCTGGCGGTCCTTATCCTGGACCAGGACAACCTCCTTATGGGTATGCTGGACAGCCTCAGTTTGGCTGGCAGGGTGGACCTCCTCCCGGGCCCATGTATGGGGAAGCTCCCAAAAACACAGGTAAGCACTGTGACCCAAACGTGCTACACAACACTTGTGAGTCCAAATCCAGCAGTACTAGCAGAACTACAAGTTGTCACTGTCCTTACACAATTTTAAGTCCTGTGCTGAATTACTTGTTGACTGGATGTTATGGGGATGCACTGGGAGTCTTGCAAGTCTGCATTCAGCTGCAAGGATTAGCTACTCGCATAACTCATAAACAGTAGGAAAGCTGTTTGTAGCTACATTGTTTTCACACACTGGTTTTTGAAAGGCATTTTGAAAACATTTTGGAGCTAAGAATGACCATATTTGTGTGAGACGATGCAGTGCTACCTTGTCAGCTGGCTACTAAAGGAACTGCACATTTTGGCACCTGGCATTGGTTTTAGGTCTGGAGGTTGCCCCTTGTTAGTACCACTAGGAAGCTGATCTGTTAACGTTAGCTGTACCTTTTTAAGATGGTTACATAAGTACATTAAACACATATTCTTTGTAATGGCAAGAGAAGGGCCTTTCCACTGCTCTAGCAAATATGCCAGATAAGCAAAATATCTTATTGCTCACTTGATCTTAGACCTTTAACATTTTCCTGATGAGTTTATGGTCATAGCTGGAGTAAAACTGGTGGTATGCTTTAGGACTGGCCTGCCTTGTGATTAACAAATTTCTACTGAATGAACAAGCTGTATTGCTCAGTCACATCCTCCTGAGGCATATGACAAAAAATAAAACTTCATAAACAAAAAACTGATGTCTATGTTTGTGACAAGTGAAGTGGACTATATTTAAATACTGAAGTGGACACATTTCAGTGGGCTCCTGAAACACGAGTTCCTGTTTGGGACAGGTGTGTAATTTCTTTTAGCTAGTTTTAGATTAGACTGAATATTACACCCTTGCTGCAAGAAGGAGCGCTTTCACAGATCATTCATTCCAATAGCAGTTAGACTCTATAACTCCTCAATCACAATGTCATAAGTCACTGGACACTGTGAACAGCCACGGTCACCACTTCGTGTGTGTGTGTGTGTGTGTGTGTGTGTGTGTGTGTGTGGGGGGGGGTAGTACAATAGCTATATAGTTTATGTTCTTCCATATTTTCAACCATATCCATGGTCACATACTGTGTATGCTACCATTGTATATAGTGTATTATCTTACTTTTTTTCCATTGATTGTACTTATTTGTATTTTTGTATTTCCTTCTGATATCTGTACCTGAGCTGAGGTGACGCAAAAATTTCCCCGTTGTGGGATCAATAAAGTCTTATCTTATCTTATTGAATCTAAGCTTCATCAACGGGAAGTCACTACTTTAGCATGTAGTCGTTACTACTTTTTTTTTTTTCTTTTTTTCCCCTTAAGTGTGTGCTTAACACAATAAAGACAACATTGTTTAACAAAGTATACAACACACTCGGGCAGAATGGGGGGGAAAAAAACAGGATTTCATTTACATGCTTGGCTTCCTTGAAAAAGTCCCACTTTATTAATGTAAGCATTGGGGTTTCGCTGCTTTAAACTGTTAGCAGTCGGACGTACCGCCCACGGGACATTGGATGGTTTAGGGGACTAATAGGACTGCTAAGGGGTTAAAAGCCACCATTCTGTTCCCTAACAACATCAACAAATAACGTGTTGTTAAGTCGTGGTACTTGATAATCTAATTGCCAATTTGACAAATGCCTGTGTTTCTACCAGGAACCTTAATGTGGTACAACTTCAAGCATCCCGAGCAGGCAGCTAAGGTTTCAGATGTGTGAAGTCAAGCCGGGTTTTAGATGAAAGGTGTGTTAATGCGGCTTGAACTCCCCACTGAGCAGCCAATAAAGTGTAGCACAAGCTGTGAAAGAAAGGGCATGTTTTAAAAAGAAATATTCAAAGTGAGTATGCAAAGAGAACAGCCTTGCATGAAGAAAACACGGCCAATCCTTCTATTTATGAAAGCGAGCACTAAGGTGTTGCTGCTTTTGTAGCCTAAGATAAACCTGATCTGGTCAATAAAAGCTAAGTGTGCTGTGACTGAGATTCTCATTGCACGCCATGTCGATTAGCGGCATAAAAATAAATATTGGCCAAACATTTATTAACCTTTGCCACATCGTTATCAGAGTTCAGTATGAAAAGTGGTAAGCCATCTGTCCTTGCCTATTGGGTCAGTGGCATGTCACCTAGGTAACTTGCCTCCCAGCTGAAGCTGTTAAAAGCTGGATTAGTGTTTGCTTCCACATAAATGATTAATCAGAAACACAAAGAAGGTGAGATGTGCTCATTCAGGCTGGAGCAGCTGTTAAAGCTCATGTATGGCTAACATGATCATTTGCCTCGACAAGTTTCCACATGTTGGTGAAGGATGAAATAAAGCCACTGCTACACACGTGAAGTAAAGGGAAAGCACCGAAGGCGAGCTGATGTTAGTCAATTGTAATGCTGTGTGATCATGGCTGTGCGCTGCTATGGTATTACTGTAAAGATTAAACTCCTAAGATGACTGTAATTAGAGGAAAAGTGTATAAACCCCTGGTTACACTTGAACTCTCTGCTGGAGATTTGACACTGAGAATTATATCACTGGACTTTATGTTGTTTTAGAAAAGAAATCACTAATTGCTTTCTTTTTCTTTAAAACCCTTTCCAACCTCTTTCTTCCATCTCTACTCTTTATTTCACTGTAGTGTACGTGGTTGAAGACAGGAGAAGGGATGACACAGCGGACACATGCCTGACAGCCTGCTGGACAGCTCTGTGCTGCTGCTGTCTCTGGGACATGCTGACATAACGCCATTCCCCTACTGATTGACCCCCATTACCCTCTTGCCCCTATTTCTGTGCCTCGAAGCCCATCGCCCTTTCTCCCATCTGACTTAAACCTTGCACTTCCTCACAAACGCCCCTCTGTTCCCTCCAGAAGTCTCGTATGTCTGTAAAGCTATAAATTACTTCTATAAATGAAGTCCTCGCTCCCACATGGAAGCTTCATCCCAGTACTCTACCTTCATGTGCAACCCTCCACCTTCATGTGCAACCCTCCACACTGACTGACTGACCTGTCCACGGTTACACAGTTGCTGTCCATGGTTACACAGTAGCAGTTTCTAACAGAGCTTGTAAACATTACCAAAATCTCAGGCTCCTTACTAAAATTGTGCAACAACACACAAGCTACAGATTTGCACACACAATATGGTAGATGCCAAACATACAGCATAGTATGATCTCAGGCTCATCCTGCGTGATTCACTTGGGCACTTTATAATGATTGCCTCTGTAATATACTCCTTCCTGTCTTCATAACCACATAAAAGCTTTCCTTACTCCTCCCCTTCAGCTATGCTATCTGCAAAACTTCAAGGACTCTTACCCAGTATGATGATACCCAAAGGCTGTGAGAACCCCGCTGCAGACAGGGCTGATGCTTGAAATGTTTCCCATCTCATTTGCACACAAGTCATTTTAACAAATGTACGTTTGTCCATAGGCGGTAAGACAATAAATGGAATGCTCTTATTTTATTATTTTGATTAATGGCAACATTTAACATCAACAATGTTTTTCTTCATATACAAAGAAATGGCTATCAATATTCAAAGGAGCTTGCAAAGAAAAGCGTCTGGACTTCTGAAGAAGCTTCTCGGATGAGAGGTGAAACGTCTTCAAGCAACTTAAAGAAGTCCAGACGCTTTTCTTTGGAAGCTCCTTTGACTACGATGACCTAGATGACTGAGAACCTTCACAGACTATCAATATTATTTTTATTATATTAGCTTTTCAGCTTTATTTCTCACTGAAACAAGATGTTGTGATTGCTATACAGACTGATCCAAATTACCCATACGATGCCTTTTTGCTGTAGATGATTAAAATAATTTATTGCCATAACCATAAAAGGCTCTGTTTTTGTTTTTTTTATTTTATTTTATTTTTTTTAAATGGGCAATGTGAATGAGGTATGTGTGTGTGTGTGTGTGTGTGTGTGTGCGTGTGTGATTTAGGCAGGGATGAAAGTGCAGATTTGTGGCTGTTGGTGACTGAGTTTTCAACAATTTTTAACACCAAATATCTTACAATCAAATAAAAGGAAGGGGAGGGGGGAGCAGAGGAGAAAATGAGACATAATTGGCAGCCAGTAGTTGTGGAGGAGGTAAATTACAAGATGCATAGTTACTCAAGCATAAACACTTTTAGGGTACTTGTACTTCTAGTGATTTTCTTTTTTGCCACAATACTGTCATAGTCTCAGTCAGTATATTTATTGCGACTTTGAAGCTATGGTTACTTGAAATGCAGGATCTTTACATTTTCAGAAGAAATCCTAAAATAAACTGCACAGTTGAAACATCAATCTGTTGCTTATTATCCATGTTTATGAATCAAAATTAACATTACTATATATATTCAGAATATAAAGAAGACTTATTTGTAATGTAAATTTCTGTATTTTACTTACACCTATAAGAGCTTTCTCTAATTGGCCACTTGGGGGCACTGTGGAAACAGTCTGTGAAGCTAAAATTCCCTTGTAGCAACATTTTCCCAGTTACACTACCACTCTGTTTGTTTTTATCAAATATAAGTCTGACACTCACCTGCAAGCACTACTGCTTAATGTTTCCACTACAGTTGCCAGCTAAGCTAGTTCACTGCAACTGGTGGTAACAAAAGGAGACTCTTTCCCCACCCAAACTGCCTGCTGAGCTAAGAATGAGCCATCACTGAAAAGTCGTGAGCTTTGAGCATGAAAACTATCACTTTACACATTAAACATAGCATTAGACAGTTTTCACTGTATTTCACTTCATTTGTGGGATACAGCAGGGAGCTCACATGTGAATCAACCATAGTTTGTATCACATTTCTCATTAAGCTAGCCTCCACAGTATTTATAACTGTTTCAATTAAAAGACATTCAAAGCTTTTTAAAGTTATAAGTTTAACTTGTGCTTATGCTGCTGTAACCTACACTGGCTGGGCAATTTATTATGTTCTTATTACTGCTAATATGCATTCAAACAATAACATGACGGAAACTTGAAGCATTTAGGTTTGAAGACATGGCTGACGTGACCTAGTTCAAACTAGGGTCAGAGTGGGAAGAAAGGTGATTTAAGTGACTTTGAATGTGGCATGGTTGTTAGTACCAGGTGGGCTAGTCTGAGATTTCCCATAGAACATTGGGCTTGCAGAAAATGGTCTGGAAAAGAGAAAATATACAGTAAGCAGTTCTGTGGGGAAAAAAGCCTTGATGATGTCAGAGGCTGAACGAGAATGGCTAGACCCCTAATAGCTAATAGTCGAGTTACTATTGCCTCCCTAATGAACTCACTCTGTACAACCGAGGTATGCCGAAAAGCATCTCTGAATGCACGTTATGCCAAAACTTGAAGTTGATGGAGCAGAAGACCAGCAGAAGACCAGACCAGGCATCACTCCTGTCAGCTATTAACAGGAAACTGAGGCTACAACTCATAATAGAAGATTGGGAAAATGCCATGTGGTCTTATGAGTCTTGATTTTGCTGCAACACTTAGATGACAGGGTCAGAATTTGCCATAAACAACATAAAAAAAACATGGATTCATCCTGCTTCGTATCAATGGTTCAGCCTGATGTTGGTGTAACAGTGTGGGGGATATTTTCTTGTACCACGTTAGCACTGTTTAAATGCCACAGCTTAGCTGAGGATAATTGCTTACCATGTTTGTCCCTTTAACCATCTTCTGCTGTCATCTTTTCACAAAGCTCAGATCTCCTCAAACTACTTTCTTAAATATATGACAGTGAGGTCACTGTATTTAAACGGCTTCTACAGTCACCAGATCTCAAGCCAACAGAGCACCTTTGGGATGTGGGGTAATGGGAGAGTTACATTATGGACTTTGTGATGCTGTCATGCCAATTTGGAACAACATCTCTGAGGAATATTTCCAGAACCTTCTTTAGTCTGTGCCATGGAGACTTGATGCAAATCTGAAGGCAAAAGGAAGTCCAACCCGGTATTGGCAAGTTGTACCTAAAAGAGTGAGCAGTGAGCGTAAATGGACAGTAAATTCTACACATTTTAATCACATTACTAATACCCATTAATACAAACATTTTTAATGTTTATAGGAAACCTTTACTAGAGTAGTTGCTGGTGGCATGGACATGAAGATGTCAGAGTTATATTTTTTAAACTGTGTTGTCTGAGCTGGCGATATATCAGATCCTGCCCTGTGCCTTATTGCGATAATTGCCTTGGCAACAGTGAGAAACCCCTAAAAAAAAAGAGAGGGAGACCACAACTTCACCTGTCAAACCTGGCAGGTGTATTGCTGGAGACTAAGAGTGAAAGTGCAGGTTCGAGTCTGAGGTTGTGTTTTTTGGGGGCTTTTAAATTTGTAAGAAACATCATCAAAGGCACTGCGATATCATCTGCGACCGCACGCTCCTCCTTTATAATTAAGCCTTCATTCAAAATGCTGTCACATCTACTTTAGCTTATGTAAACATGCCCGAGTAAGTGTCAAGAGGCAGCAGATATAAAAAATGTAGCCCCCCCCCCAGAGCATAGACGAGAGGGAAATGGTAGCTCTCTGTGTGTTTATAAAACACTGCTGTTAATTACCTCTTATTTTCCGAACAAACCTAAGGAAATGATGTACAGTTAACAAAGAAAGGGCTGGGTGGGGGCTGCCCGTTTTAATTATTGGAACTTTCCAGTACCAGCAACAAGCTCAAAGATACCTTTGAAATGCATTTCAGCATCACACAACTAATACGAATGCATGTCATAAAATAATGAGGATGTTCCGTATGAGTAACATCGGTAGTTTTCAAACGGAAAAGTGGGATGAAAGTGAAGTACACGTCACTCGGCTGAAGTAAACAATTATGTTTTATTGATAAGGTTTCTCAGAAGAGTCTCGTTTTCAGCGAATGTATAAGAATCATCCTTTGATAATACTGATTTGGTACATTATGACATCCAGCACGAGTCTCTTCACAGTGAGAGGGATCCATTACTGCTACTGCTGTTGGGATCTAGGACAGCTTCCGAACAAAAAAGAAAAAAAAAACAACCCCCAGTCAAAAACAACAAACTGGGGGTGGGGTGGGGGGGTCGATATTGTAGATATGGAGTATTAGAGTGCCACAAAACTCTAGAGTAGTAAGACCAGCTAAAGATTTTGCACATTACAAGCCACTTCCTCTTAGAAATATAAAACTTGATAATCTGAACAATATTCTACTGTGCTGCATAAAGGTAAGTCTATACACTGTACATCGAAATATATTTCGAAAAAACAGATTTCACAGTTTTAAAGACTTTATTTAAAGTATAAACTGTTTTTTTTTAAAACACTTTATTACATAAATTATTCTTTTTGAGAGTGACTATTATTTGCCCTGGCAGCAAACGGAAATGAATACAAAAAAACCCCAAAAATGAACAATTTCTTACATATCTTACAAAAGAAAATAAACTCATCCATTTAATGTTCATATTGAATAGAACTGGTGACTCATTCATGATTGTCATATAGTACTAAGAATAAATAAATAAAAAAAAGAAGAAGAAAATCAAATAAATACTAACGTAAGCATGTTGTCTGGACTCTGTGATCGGTGTGTTTGATCGTTCTGTACAGAAGTGCCTTATGTGAAAGTCTCACAATTCTACCGCGACTGGAACGTACAAAACTACGGCATCTACAGTATACGCAACATCCTGAAATTCAGTGTAGTCGGACACATATGTAAGTAGTATGATTCTTTTCCCCGTTTCAAAATAAACAATGCCGTGTGACACCACTGTCCACAAATATAGCCATCACATTTTTTTGACTTTGTTTTTGTTAAAAAGTTTACTTCGTAGTCTGTTAACAGCGTGGATTTTTCAAGGATGCCGTTAGCCCGCGTGTTGCTTGGTTGGGTGTCCGAGGTGGACAATGGGAGGCCTGAGACAGGGAGACGACTCATAGTGGTGGGCAACTCTTAGCGTTGCCGTGTCTGTCGCTGTGCACGACGTCCTCCTTTTGATGAGCAGTTTTAATGGCGGCACTCTGGAGTGCTCCTCCACTTTGGTCCCTTTTTTTTTGTTTTTTTTGCCTCTAGCGTCGATTAGAGACAGATAAGCCTCGATCGCAGAAGCCACCGCAGTGCAAACCCTCCGTGTTACCAGTAGCTGTCATGGACGCTCTCAGTGTGACCCAAAAAATATGGGCAAAAATATCACTATCTTTTTTAAAAAGGGGAATCTTCTTACTCATTAAGCAACAGTTCTCAAAGTTCTTCAGTGCTTTTTCAGTTGTTCAAAGTTTTTTCAAAAGAAGAAAAAAAAAAAAAACAGAACAAAAAATCTGACTGACTAAACTGTATTTTTTATTTGTATTTTTATTTTTTTGCCTGTGGCAGTAAAATTAACAATGTGTTGTCTGGTAAGTCATTCTTTTTTAAAAGTCCCTGCAGCGTTCCGTGAATAACCCCGTTTGTTGGTTAAATCTCCATGGGTTTTAAGAGGAGGGAGGGTAAGAGGAAAAAAAAGGAACCGGGACAAAATCTCGAGATGTGAAAGTGGGAGAGAGTGGGAAGAGTCCGCCCTTCCAGTGGGCTGTTACCTCCTGCCCATCTCGTTCTGTCTGAGAAACTGGATGTTGTTGCTGCTGTCAGCCAGTTCTGGATACTGCTCCACAGGCAGTACGTAGTAGCCGTCATAGCCCTGTACTCGACCTGTCGTTAGGAGCTGCTGTCTCTCCCCTTCTGTCCAGAGGCGACTGCCTCCCTTTCCGTCCCTAGCTCGCTGCTGTTCCTTGGCCCAGGCCCCCGCCAGCGCCCTCTGCCTGGCCAGCTCCAACAGTCTTACCTTCTCTTCGTCCAGCACGTCTGCAGCGAGCCCGTACCGAACGCTCAGTAATAATGATGGAACTGCAAACTCCACGGTCACTCCTCTCCTCGACCGCCCACTCACTGTCACATTGATTCCGCTCTCCAGTGACTTGCGCCCGTTTGTGAGCCCCAGGGCCAGCAGGTCGCTGTCAGCAGAGCCTACCTTCACAAAGTAGTGGCAGTCCTTTCCATCCTGTGTGTAATGCGTGCCTTCGAGGTACTGCGCACCATTGAGCACCAGAGCCACTTTGCGGCTGTCTTCGCTGGCCAGCGCCGACACGCCAGCCACCACTCTCCCCTCCTGCAGCGCCACCATTACTCCTCTGCCTATTATGGGGGTGCTGGTGCCGAACCAGTGGCCAGGCTTGTCCTTGCGCCTGCGACGCTCCTTGTTGAGCAGACGACCCTCCAGGGCCATGAAGGCCTGGTTGTGCCGCTCAGCTGCTTGCTGCACCCCGGTTATGAGCTATATAGAAAAAGTTAAAGAAAAGCTTTGTCACTTTTTTGAAAGAGATGATAATGTAATAACACACAGCTGACCGCAGTGAGTAAATACAGGGCACATTTATATTAGATTTAAAAGAAAATGGTCAATATTTGATTTAATAATGAGAGTGGGTATATATTTTAAATAGGTGTACCTGTCCGTTCTCACAGTGCTGGGTGGCCTGCAGCTCATACGGTGGCTCCACAAAGTAGAGCGAGTGTCGAGGGAACCCTGGGATTATGTTACTGAGCTGGAAGCCAAACATTACCAGCCAACTCTTCACATCTACAGCAAGCAGACGAGGGGAAATTACTTTTGCTGAATGACAAAGTTAAACACAGTAGCAAATGAAGCAGTGGTTTTAGTATAACAAAAAACCAAAAAACTGAAAGCGTGTTTGCTTTTGTGACTTATCTCGTCCGTGCCATCTGTAGTACATTGTTACTAGCATAAACTATCTAGTCCACAACAATCTGTTCTGCTGAACACTAGAGATTCCTGACAGTCTCAGGACATAAGCTAAGATGAGCTTGTTAAGTAAACTAGAAGCGTTATTTTCCCTGCTTTTTAATATGCCAGGAAGAAACACAGCCAACCATCTGAGACAGAGTACAAGGGCTAAATATTCATACAACACATTTCACCATTTGGCCCACATAATATTTGTAACTATCTACCTGTGACGTAGTTTTTAACATCCAGCATGTCACTGAGTGGGTTGTTGTTCTTGAACATATACAGATTAAAGGGAGCGGGATCTTTTCCTATCTTGGGCCACATGCTGTAGTCGGGTGAGGTCCACCGCCCAGCCAAGACATCGTAGTCCCGCTGGGTGAAGTGGACCAGCTTCGTCAAGGGGTCGTACAGGCCGCCGTGGAAACCCACCACCAGTTGGAACTCTGGGTTAGAGTCCAGATACACCTCGCCGTAGGCGGTGTACTGGACCTGGGTAAGAGAAGCAGATCAGTCAAATATAAACAACAATGCGGATGGTGGAGGGAATAAATGTGGAACAGGTGTGATTCACAGCTGGATACCTGTTTGATCATTTGTCCATTGCTGCTGAAGACTGCTAGCGGTGTGCCGGTGTTGTCAGAAGCTATGTAATATTCCTCTCCACTGCTCACCTCCATGGCAAAGAGATGACCCTGATCATAGGACAGTTACAAATTCCCATTTTAGTTCAGGATCGTGTTTGTGCTGATTAATCAGTCTGTACCACAAACATTATAGGATGATCTTATAATTAACCAACCACGCCCACCTGGAGGTCATAGTAGAGTGACGAGATGTCAGAGCTGGAGTGATTGAAGATGTGCGTCACCCTGGTTGGATGGTTGAGGTCAGCATAGAAGAACTGAAGGTGCTGCCCCAGGCTGTTCCTCGTGGACACCCTGCGACCGAGCCCATCATAGTGATATACAACGCTCCAGCCTCCTGGACCTCTGTTGTACGCCCGCAGGAGCTGACCTTTGGAGTTATAGTCAAAAACGTCCGTCCCACGCTGACTCAGGAAGCCGTCTTCGTCCAGGCGATATTGGACATCTCCCAGACGCGTAATGCGATCTCTGAGGTCGTAACGCAGAGGCAAGATCCGGGCACTGTTCCCAGGATTCAGCAGGTGGAGGTTACCGTTAAGGTCGTAGCTGTAGCGCCAGGTAGACCAATCATTCACCTGGAAACAAACAATGATGTTTGTAAATCAGAGTTATGGATACTTCAGCCTCTAATGAAGACACACTGCACGGTTAGAATCCCAGCCTCTCTGCTCACCTTGACGCCACTGAGCTGCCCGTCTCCATCGTAATCGTAGCGGTACTGTGTGGTGTTGGCGTAGGGCCCGATCTTAAGCTCTCTCTTCACCACACGTCCCATGCTGTCATACTGGACCGTCATCCAGTACATGAGAGAACGGAAGATCTCGTACTGGACCTCCTTGATGCGACCGTGGGTGTCAAAATGCTTACTCAGTGTCATAACGGCAGTGGTGATGATTTGATTGATGTCATAGTAAATGACCCCAAACTTTCCAAAGTGTTCTATCTGTAAGGAGGAAAAAGCAAGAAAGGTAAGCTACAAATACTTGGAAAGGGCGTTGCTAAAACAGGAAAGTAAACCAGAACAAATCTTCTGCACCTTTCCAGAGATCTCATCATATCGGTAGAGGTCAACAGGCAGTGGCGTCTCACTGATGACCGGCTTCATGCTGGCAATCCGGAAGCTGTTGTCATGGTAGGTGTAGTCGAACCGCGCGTTGACCATCCCCTCCTCACTGAAGCGATAGATCTGCTTGTCGATAAGCGGGCCCATTTTGCGATAGCGGATGGTGCAGGAGAAACCCCCGCTCTGCAAGTTGACCATCTTTAGCACGCCGGCTGTCTCGTCGTACCCAAAAGTGACGGCGGTGCTGTCGTAAACGATCTCCGACAGCTTTGTTAGCTTGCCGTACTTGTAGAGGACACGCCGCCCAGTGCCCAGGTAATGTACGGCCTGAGGTCTGCCGTCCTCACTGAAATCGTGGATGATGGAGGCGTTGCTCTCCGGAGGGTTGTAGGTGTTGCGAATATAGCCAACGGACACGTGCGTGAACATAGTGTGGCGAGCGACACTGGGCATCGTGACAGCTGTGACTCGACCCGAGGCGTCAAACTCAAAGACGTACTGCCTCTGGCTTTGCAGGAGCAGCACCATGGACTGGAAGCAGAGCAGGGAGGTGAAATACGGATTAATATAATAGCATTATCACTGCGTGACTTGTCTCCTGTGAAATAGCACCAGGAGTAATTTGCTCTCTCCCCTGACAAATCTGAACCTTCATAACCATAAAAATGATGTATTATTTCACTCAGTCCTACAATCCAAATTACTGTACTTTCTTGCTAATGCCTTCCTCTGGATGTGACTCTGCGGATGACAGTGTTGAAGATAAATGCACTCACTTTGTCAAGATAGCTGTAGCTCCACACCTTCCCGTCTACAAAAGAGCGAGACAGGATGCGTCCCTGGGGGTCAAATTCCGTCCTCTCACTCATGCTTCCCCTCTGCAGCCCTACAAGCTGTCCGGTGGCGGAGTACGACACGTTGACTACGGCCAGGCTGCTGCTGGGCAACCACATAGCTGGCCGGCCCTGAGCATCGTACATGATGCGCAGCGTGAACTTGCGGTGATCGTCGTAAATCTTTTCCGTACGGGTGTTGCGATCGAAATCGATGGAGAGGAGATTGCGGCCATGAGCCTAAAGAAAAGGAAGGCGTTTGTCAGGTAAGTTAAGTGAACTGCACATGTGGATTTTAACAAAGCAGTGGACAGGTTAGTAAAATTGGTTACCCTCAGCTTCCTCCCAAACACGGTGATCTTGCCCTTGGTCTGCTCCTTGCGCAGTCGCCACTCAATGGAGTTGAGACCATTGTCTGTAGGCAGAGTGATGTTCCTTCGACCGATGGTTGGACTGACAGAACCCGCCAGGATGTGCGGCTCTGTGTGGAAACTGATGCCCATCCCATTGGCGTACATCACTCTTAGGGTCCCGTTGTTACACAGCTGATAGCTGTTCCTCACTTGGTCTGTAGGGGGACACCAGCAGACATGGCATCAAAGACAAGACGAGTGGCACACAAGACTTCCAGGTTCCAACTGAATAGCCAATGTCTTTTGGGAAGCTTCCACAATGAGTGAAGTGACCCGGAAATATGGGTGTGGCGACCATAATAAGAGCTGGTAAAGACTAAAGTGCTTTAGTGCTTCCTTTATGACTTCCTTAAGCAAAGGCTACAGCGGACTATGAAAGGAAAGAAGATAATGCTTGAGAACAAAGTGATGACTAGACTGCTAAACTGTCAGCCTAATGCCACATCTGGAGCTGATATACAAATACTTCGAAAACTTTTAACAATTTGTTAAACCAACTCGAAACGTTCCACTTTATTTAAATCTGCTGCTGCCTCATGTGAAGTATTTTTCAGCATGAGTTTACAAAAGCGGTATATAAATAAAGCTAGTTAGCCATTTTAAAATAATGTAAAAGGGAAGGTTGTTTAGTTTAGTGTTGTGTGCTTATATCCTTGTTTTGGGAGCTGCTGCACACACTGCCAACTTTTAGGATTATCATTACTTAATTTTGCTCCAGAGATGCTGAAAGCCCCAATAAAGGATGAGTTAAAGTCGATTCAGCGGAGAGAGACAGAAAGAGAAAATACGAGTGGACAGGAGGGGGAGCAACATCTCTTAAGACAACACCACCGCTGTGACAGGAAAAGATATTCTTCTTATAAACTCCAATCTAACTAATAAAGTGGAAAGTGCTTCATCTTTGGGCAATTTCAGCTTCTACCTGGCACACTCAGGTCAACAGCCTCCTCATATTATCAAACAGCTTAGTGTAAGTGCAGTCTCTTTGCCTACATCTTTGCAAATTCTCCTCTGCACCTTTCCTTTGCTTCATGACGTTTTCCACTGAGGTGAATGAAAAGTGGTTTGAAAAAGAGAAAGTCTGACTATTCAACTGCAACCTAAGTTCTTGTGTTGAGATCCAAATGACAGTACCTCAGAAGAAGCGTAGTACCTAAATCTTAGCAAATCGAAACCTCAAAGTATTCGATTCAGGTCAGACAGTCGGTAAAAAAATTATAATCTATGAAATCAGAATAGCAATGTGAAGGTACTAGTTTCATGTAGAGGATATTGGCAATAGATAGGATATGAACACTGGTGAGGAGAATACATTACGTTTTATGACCTTTCAGGCAAGGATACATAGGATCATTCACTCTGAAAATTACTATACGTACAGTAAAAGAAGTTGAAAAGATAAAAAAACACTGTAGGTTCCATCAGACAAGTTGTATCATTTTATCTTTGCACTGCTTTTCAACCGTACTGCATTTTCACTGTGGTCTGGGAAATGTTACATAAGCTTTCTACTGTTTGGATGAGCTGATTCTGTCAGGCAAACTGCAGCCTGTGTTGACAGATTCACGTATTTACTCTGTTTTTTTACCGCACAAAATCCAAGCTTAGACCCGATGGACCAATCAGAAGTGATCCGACAGAACGGGCACTTTAGCATCTGATGGCGATGGGAAATCCGAGTCACAGAGGCTTACGTCAGTCGGAATCAGATCGTGTCCATTAAACGTTTGCGGACCTGATTTCTGACTCCTTCCCACAAACTGCGCGCTATTCTAAATAGAAAAATCCTCAGGCTAAAGAGACATCGCTCCACAATCAACATCTCTCCAATTTATCGACTTCAACAAGAATAGAGACAGATAAGCCCGTGATTAATGCAGAGGCTAAATTTTCCCTCTGATGTCTGAAAGCAAGCTCTCCTCCCCACCCCCGACCACAATGAAGTGATTAAAAGCGAGATTAAATTGTTTTCAGCTCAGAAATATCGAGAAGATGCAGAGTTGGGAGCTTTCTTTATTTCACTTACAAAAGGTGAGAGGGTAGGGGATTGGATGGTTGTCTCTTTGAAGTCCTGCCATAAATGACAGTAATCCATAAGGCCAATTTGTAATAAAGCTCCAGGCACATTTTAACAATGCCTCAAACAGACAAGTGAAGCTTTTTCCATTGACTTGGCAGCAACAGCCTTTAGATAAATCTTCTCCGCTCTCTCTGTCTGAACAACCTCGTAATAAAACAGAAGCGAGGTAGAGGGATAGCGAGCGTGCGTGAGAGAGAGAGGGTGAAATGAGAGCTGGAGGGCCAAGGAGAATTCACTGTGCTGGAGTTAATGAAGAGAGCGAGAAAGAGCCGAAAGTGAGGGAGACGGTTAAGTGAGTATGTCAGCAGAGAGCTGTGCTCAAACCCACACAGTGCAGTGGAAACCTTAAATTACTTACAGCCGTGTGAACAACTCTTCTCTTCTACCACAACAAAGGTGGACGACTAAACATATATGAAGACGCAACGTTTTCTCAATGTTTTTGGACCGTAACGAGTCTGGTCTGGATTCAGACATCCGTCACACGGCACCGGTCAGTGGAGGGGTGGGGGGGTCGGGAGAATTCTTCTTCTTCTTCTTCTTCTTCTTCTTCTTCTTCTTCTTCTTCGTCTTTGTCCCCCCACCTCTCTAAACAGACCAAATAAGCTCAGGGATCATGGGAACTGTCAGTATGTGTGCGTGTGTTTCTGTCTGTGTGTAAGGAGAGAGCTTGAGGGATGAGGAGGATTCACTCTACACGAGTTAATGAATTTTGCTGTGATGATATTCAAAAGCAGGATGATCCCAGCTGGGATTAACTATATATTGGTAATTTTACTCCTTAAGAGGGGAGCGAGAGAGGGCTGGGTGTGGGTAGGGGGAAAGAAAATAATCTCCTGGAGCATGCACATAACTGAGTGAAAATTAGAAGACTTTCAATTAGAGCCGGCAGGCCTGAGCACATTCAGCATCAGAGGGCGGCTGTGTTTTTTTGAATGCTAAGACAAAGCAGTGCTAGAGCCTGCATGAATCTCATTAGGGCGATGATACCACATAAACAGATCTGCTTCACTGTTATCAGGATTACTTAAAAGTCTACTCAGAATGACTAATGAACGATAGTTGCTTGATTTGCACTGTTCCATGTTGATAAGTTGAACCCAGGATTAGCCTGTCTTTGTGCCACATCATTTCACAAGTATTTAAAAGTTCAATGCCGGATCATTTTTCCTCCGTGTGTCCAGGTATGTGCTAAGCGTGTCCCCTACCTTGTACCACGGTGTATGAGGCTTCAACCGAGGACAGGTTGGTGATGACGGTGACATCGTCGTCTCTGCTCGAGCTCTCAATGTCGATGTTGATGGAGCGCTCGATCTCTCGGTGCAGACTTGTCACCATGCCCGTCGGGTACGTCACGTTGGTCAGTCGTCCCTCGCTGTCATACCTGCGAAATGGGAGATTGCAGACTTGTTCGTACTTGTGCCACCTGTGTGTTGAAAATCGAGCGCACACGCAACAGTCACAAAAAACAGTTTGGCAAGGGGGTGGGGGTGTTTGGCTGTAGATATAAAAGCTAACACTTGGGGGCAGCAGAGCACTTTGTGAAACTCAAGGAGAAAGCAGGAATCAGAGGACGGGAATTGATGGAAATGAACCCGACAGCACTCAAAGACGACAATGCACACAGTGTCACACACTTACTGGTAAAATGTGGTCCATCCAGTCTCGTCAGCTTTGGTTGCCAGGAGGCCCGTGTTGCCGCTGTAGCTCATCAGAGCCACTTCTTGGCCCAAGGCTGACACACTACGCAGCCCCCCACTGGGGTCCAGTGCAAGGGTCACCACTTGATTCTCAGGCAGCAGCACCAGTCTGAGCAGGCCGGCTCCTCCTCCTTGGCCCAGCCCATCCCGCCTCACTTTCACAGTATTGTTGCAGTTATCCACCAGCATGGCCAGCTCGCCATCGGGGCTGTAGGTGAAGTTGAAAAGCGGCTCCCCAGTCACGAGGCTGACTGTCTGGATGTGAAGCCCCTCCCCGTTGAAGACGTACAGCTCCTGCTCCCTCGGAGACGCGACTTCGTACTGCGCCGATCCCACGTACCCGACGCTCGAGAGGGCAGGGCCGGGCCGGTTCGCTCGCACGGCTCGGATGCGTATGTTGTTGAGGTCTGCAATAAAAAGAGTCCCGTCGGGGGACACGGCCAGGGAAGTTGGGGAGTTCAAGCCAGCGTCGGGGGCGTAGCCCTCGTCACCATAGAAGCAGTTGCAGTTGACGTCGTTCTTGCAGTCGCAGTCAGAGGCAGCACCGGCCAGGAGAGAGATTTCTCCATTAGTGCTCACCTAAAAATAAATAAATGAACAAATAAATAAATAAATAAAAACACCCATACTTTGAACAAAGAAACAACCAGACAACTGCATACCTGTCTCACTCGGTTAATCTTTTTCTCATCTGTTTCGGCGATGTACAGGATGCCGGTGTGGGACAAGGCGATGGCTGTGGCGCTCTCCAGGGCGGCGTGTATAGCCAGCTTACTGAGGCTGTAGTCAATGCCCGGCACTTGGCAGTGCATAGGCCGACCCGCTATAATGCTCACCTTTAGGAAACAATGCAGAAAGTATTGATGATCCAAAAAAGTAGGATGCCAACATAAGATTCCAAAGTAGTAAGTAATATCTTCCTAGAACTAATTAATCAGTAATTTTCCTGCAAAACTTAGAATTTGAACTTTTTACTTCTAATTTGGCTTTAGGAAGGCTAATTGGGACGAAATCTTGTCAAAGCCTATGGTGAGTGTGCACTCTAATGGGTTTGCAGCCCTGTATGTACAGACCTGGTGGTTCTCAGTGATGCGTAAAATGACGTTGTTTTCCAGGACGTACAGAGAGTTGTCCATGGGGTTCACGGCTAAGTCTGTGGGCCACTCAAGACGCACCTGACGGGCAGAAACAGAAGTTATACGATCTGTGAGACGGTATCTATACCGAAAGGGTGCCAAGGTTCAGACAAGTCTCTTATTCATTTAAGTGACTGCAGCAGTGTTCACTTTCTTCTGATCCATTCATTTATCCATTGACTCTTTAATCCCTCCCTAAATCAGTTTCTCCCTGACCTCCCGGCTGGCTCTACTCCACAGAGTCATCATAGCTCAGCACTAAGGGAGCTCTTAGATCATCATCAATCACACCGTCGGCTTTTGTCTCTTTTTCCCCACCTGGCTGACGTCCATGCTGGTGTCACAGCTCAGAGGCCGCACGGCGGTCAGGTCGTTAGCCCCCAGCAGAGTAGAGATGATGCCATTCTGGTCCACCTTGCGGATCATGGTGGCGTCCACGAAATACATCAGCCCGTTTTTATCCACTGCGATACCTGTCAGCGGGGGGAGATGAACACCGTGAATGACGACTCATAACTCAAACACTGCGGGGCCATACCCATAGACATTTTAAGTCAATTAAACTTCACTCTTTCAGCCGCTGAAAATGAATAGCAGCCCGGGCCGCTCAATTGCTCAATGCTTCATCGAATGAGAGGGAACACAGAGATGGAACGGGCATTGAACTGTTGAGAAATGTTAGTTTTGGGATGAGTCATCGGGATGCCGAGCTGAACTCCCCTTAGAGGGCAACCGCAGACGGCACGCAGATCATCTAGAATGGCGAGTGATCTCTTGCGCTTCTCTTCCTTCCTTGGTTTCCTCTTGATCTCTTTTTTGTTTTTTGTTTTTTGACACCCAACTTTCGACTTGTTTATACCTCTCTCCGTTTTATCCTTTATCACTGGGTTGGTGTCACCCCGTCAGTCTATCAGACAGCAGACGCTCAGAGAGGTGTGACTGTTCAAGTAAAGTGTGCCCAGAAATAACTTCTAGATGCACTGGGATAGTAAACAACAGATGGAGGATACAGCGAAGGGTGCACAGAGTAAATGATACGGAGATAAATAGGAAAAAGAGCGGAAGAGCTGGAGGAAGAGAAGAAACAGGAAAAGGGAGGAACTGACGCTTTCTGACTGCGTGACGGGTAAGAGAGAATCAGCAGTTCATTGTCTTCCCCGATCGTCCCATCTTATCTCATGAACCGTGCATACACACACACATGCATGCACTCTTGCATGCACGCAGTGTATATATTCTAACATCTGTGGTGCTACATGTACACACATGACAAGAAATGTGACAGTGTGACATCCTTGACAGTTTGGTGTCACAGTGTTCTGAGATCCAATGATCCACAAAAATAATCCCATTATAAGTTTAACATTAACCTGGTTTATAACCTCCTTCTGTCTCTGTCCTGCTTTAGTTGAGTCATAAGATGGGCGCATTATGAAAAAAAACAAACCTCATCAGTGAAAATGTAAGCCCCCTTAAATTACACGTCTTGTGAACTGAACTGTGGATCACAAAGTCTCCTCAACAAAACTCATTTCGAAGGATGTCTTAAGAGTCTGTATCCACATTTTATACTGTAATACAAGAAAATGCAATTTGAACAATATGAAGTTAACTGTGACGTGAAATTCCCCCTAAGTGGCTCACCTTTGGGGCTCATAAGTGTAGCTTCAGTGGCTTTTCCACCGTCGCCACAGCGCTCATCGAAGGGCAGGCACTGCTCCCCGGTCCCCGCCACCACCTCAGCATTATCCGACAGCAGACGACCACCGGTTAATGACCGCACGCGGTAAATCCGTCGCGAGTTTGTGTCTGAGATAAACAGCGCCCCAGATACCGGATCCACAGCCATAAAGTATTTATGGGTTGGGTTATTACTGAAGCAAAAAAAGACAAAAAAACAAAACCGGTATAATTATGAAATCAGCCTGGATTTACATTGTAAATGATACTTTGAAGCGCTTTTGCATTTATTTTTTCCTTTGCTGGCATGTTGTTAATTTCTCATCCTGAGCCTCTTACCTGTGTCTGAAATCTTTGTTCCTTTAAGAAAAGAAAGGGAGACAGAAGCACAGCAAAACAAATGTTAATTCACACAGTCTGCACAGAGCAACCTACAGAGAGCAACACAAAGCTGGCAGTGGTGTGAAGAGCAACATTTAAAGATGTGTAAAAACACCCTGGGGAAATGTTATCTAGCACAGTCTATATTTCTTGCCAGTCCAAGTCTCTCACCTCACTTCTTTCATCTAACATCTTGTAAGCACTGAAAACATCCAGTCTTTATCCACAATTTTTCCTTTTTCTGGTGACTTACCTCAATATATCTGCAACATAGAAAAACCTCTAAATTCACAACTGCTTTCCTATTGATTACTATTCTATTAATTCGTAATTTACTGTCCCATAGATCGGGAGGTTTACCTCAGTTCCAGGATGCCAGTTGTGTTCATAGATGGGTAGACCCGGCGCACAAAATTGAGGTCCCCGACATACAGGCTGCCATCGATGCCCATTGCCAAAGCAACCGGAGCCAGCAGCTTGTTGCCGTCTGCGAGGCCGTTGCAGCTGGGGCACGAGATGCTGCGCCTGCGGCCGTTCCCCATGATGCTCGTGATTACCGGAGGCTGCTCTGTCACAAAGATGTTTTCCCCGCTGCCTTTGTGAAGGATGCCTGTGAACAACAAAAGACAAACAGATATATCAAAAGCAGATAAGGGCTCATTATTCCACAGGTAACAGTGTAATCAGCTACCCCCAATCACATCCACCCCGATGTAGAAATGGTTTCCTTTAACTCGTTGGTGGAGCCATCAAGAATGCAAACTTTATCTTGTTCAATGCTTTTTTTTAATTTAATACCTGGAAGCTTTTAGCCTCGGCTGAACTTGTGCATAGTGAGCTAATTAGCTCGTTCAAACCAAGCGGCAACCCTTAGGGTTGAAAAACAAAGCCAACATAAAAGTGCCAAAAAACCCCAAAACAAAATTACAGTTCCCTTTAATTGGTAGCTATCAGCTAATTCAACTCACTGAACTGGACTTCACGACTGGGTTTGCGGTGACAAATATTATGTCAGCTCATGTCCAAGAAGCCGAGGTTCCAGTTTTAATGAATGAAATTCTAGTATTATTTCACATTTATCTCTGTCTATTCGAGGAAACGACACGGACTTGGTAACCAAGCTTACTGGCACTAGCTGATCCTGCGCCAACACAGCAATGGCCATAATGCTTAAATTAAGACTTCACAATTGGAGTTCACAAACCACTAGATGAGATCATCTATCTTTTATATACAGCTTATGGAATACCACTCAAGCGATCCCGAACTAAGTTTTGGCAAAGGTGTCTCTGCCAACCACACCACCTGTCTCTGTTTTAGTAGCTGCTGCTGATTGGTCGGTGCACACTTTTAGTGGATGAGGGAGTCAAACTAGGTGAGACAACACTTCCTGTGAAAATCCTCACTGACAGGTAAAGTCTGGCAACTTCAACTAGAGGAAGCGCAGTGTGGTCTAACCCCTCTCCACCATCACCACCAAGACAATAGCACATTGTGTACTGTAAACCTGCTACACACAGGGAACGGGCTAAATATAAACTGGAAGGCAAAACAGGGGACAAACAGAAAAGGCTTTTGCATAACTATGAGTGTGTAAGTGTGTGTGTATACGTACCACTGCGTGTGTTGAGTATGTGGTGCTTGTTGAGCGACCAGCCACCCAGATTTGTGGGATCCAATTCGTAGCCCTGCAGGAGGGCCGTCCTCTTCTCCCAGAGGATGAGACTGGCACATGACTCATACTCATAGCCCACTGACACTACATGCAGGAAAGAGTAGAGGCAAGAGAAACGAGAGGGGTGGGGTTGGGTGGAGGGGAACGTTCAAAATAAAGGGATGAGAAAACATCAAAGAATCATTTAAGAAACAACATAGGAAGAGAGGCTGTGAAACTTCATCAAAATATAATCTCCCAAGTTCATTTAAGGTGTGAAACACAGAGAAGCTAGTTAGCACCTGTACCAAAACCTGCACTCGCACCTTACTAACACTCTGGCATGCTGTTAAATCAATTAAAAAGCTTGCTAATTGGAAAGATTGCCCTTTAAACCTGCAGGCCACGCTGGCTGCAACAGTAAAAACTTTGCTCGTGGAAAAATAATGCCCTGATCGTGTTCGCGTCCTGACTGAGCCACGGTTAATTTGAGTAAATAAATTGAACAATTAAGGGAAATTAGTTGCGATCAGGTGTATTTTTGAAGACTACTCAGAGAGTGTTTGTGTTACGTGCTTGTTTTTGGGTTTTTTTCATGGGTGTGCTGTTGTGTTCCTGCTTGTTAAAGGGAAAAAAGTGTGTTAACACATCATCTCCCTCCTGAGTTAAAGAGAGTGCTGCTGCCAGCACATTTTCAGCTTCACTACAAGCAGTAATGCAGTATACCTGTGTCTGTATCTATGCTTAGCAAAACATAACCTAATCATCAGCCACGTATGTCCTTTATATTCTCCAGGAATTGGAAAATTGCTCCTACTCAAGGGACATTTAAGATCTTTCAGCGAATGCAATTTTCCAAACAGTGTGCCCCTCCACACTGAAGCCCCAGATGTCCACTGCATCTGTGGCCTGACAGCAGTGTTTGGCTGACAGCATCTGTGAGCGACTGTGACAGCAGAATGTAATAGCACTGAGGCTCCCCTGGACTCCTGCTTGCTGCTCCAGTAGTTAACTGCTAACTCCTCCTGATGGTTAATAACCCTTCACCACAGTTACGGCTGGCTGACTGAACCAAACGCGGCTTCAATGAAAAATAGACATATGAAAAAAAAAAAAAGAGCCCTTCACTGGGGCCATATTGCGAAGTGGATCCAAGCTGGGTTTCTGGTGTATTATCTCTCCTTCAGGCTCACTAATTAGCCCCACTCCCTCTGTCATAACCAGTGCTGTCTTAGTGGTAAAGTGTCTAATGTATTCAGGGTGTGCAAGGCTGGGAGAAAAAAATGATCTGTGCCCGCCAGCACAGCTTTTCCTCCATCCATCCCTTCCACTTACCGACAGCTTCGGAAAGCCCGTAGACCCTTTGCCCGTATGCATCTGTCTTATCCCAGATGTAGGTATATGCCAAGTTGGGCGAGGCGTGGAACCACTTCTGGAAGAGGTGGCCCTCCACCGCGACCATCAGGTGAACCTTCAGAAGGCCCATGGACACCACAGCTGGAGTCATGGTGACCTTGAGGAGGGAGCGATAACCTTGGGTCCTGGAGCTTAGGTAGCACAGCTTTAAACTTGTGCCAGGCACCTCGATCTGCTCATGCAGCACCTGGAAGACAAAGAGAGGATGGCGGGAGAGAGGGATTAGGGAGGATTAGAGAAAGAGGGAGTAATGGGGGTCACGCTTCCACTGATGGCTGAAGGACAAGAAATGGCAAAAAAACAATGGGAGAAATAAAGGAATAGGAAAGAGGGAATAAAATGGGGGAACTATGGAAGCGGAAGGAGAAAGAGAGCTACAAAAAGATAAGCATACAGGAGAGTGGGAAGAGAGCGAGGGAACCAGAAGGAAGATTAGCCGGCAGCCAGAGGTCAGTGGTACTGCACCTGTGTCTCCGGTATGATGGGTTTCTCCCCTGGCTTGGAGCTGAAGAAGGAGGAGAGAGGGGATGCAATCACAAGTGGGTCAGGCCTGACGAAACCGCTCAGGTCACAGCCTGGGATCGTGTTCTCTTCTGTCTTAAGCACCAGAGTGTCCATAGCATAAAACTGGCTCCAGGGCAGCCACACGGTGCGCTCCTGGCTCAGGAAGGGGGCGCGCTCGAACCGAAGGGTCAGTGATGCACCACCATTAGCTATCAGGTCAAACCTGGAGAGGTTTGCGAGAAGAGGACGGGAATGAGGTATACATGGGGAGTGCCGTGGTGGATGGACAGGCCAAGTTACTTAGACCTAAACAGAGCTTAACACAGCAATTACTCCACAACAACAAAACACCTGAAATAAATATTCCGACATTATTAATTACGGTCCAAAAAAACAGTACACAGACCACAACAAGGTGACAAGTTGAAGGCCAACCTAGCCATCGGTCTGCTCTGAAATATGAACAAGGCGACGTTAGAACACACGTCTCATAACAGAAGTGATTTTATTAGATGTTATCCTTTTACCCTTTGTCACTAAATTATGGGTAACAGCTGTAGGTTAATGATTAGTAGAGGAAAAGGTCACACACACACACACACACACACGCACACAATTGACACGTCTTATGGGAAACGGCCAGAGCTGCGTGAAGAGCTGCGAGAAAATAACATAGAATCCGCGAGACCAAACAAGACCAGACGCAGACGTGTTCATTGAAGACCGCGTCTGGAATTCAAGGTCAATTAAACATTACAAGAAGTTTGCATATTTCTCGAAGAAAACGCTGCAAAGAAACAAATGATAAAAGGCGATTGCTTAAAGAATATGACAGAAGACAGGGAGAGGAGAAAAATGTATTTTTAATGCGTGGAGATCAGGCTGAAGAACCAGTGAATCAAATTTTGAAATAACATGTTAGAGATGTCAGCCAGACTTAAATTCAATAGAAGTTGTTGGGGGGGAAATTGGACAGAGAAGTCAAATCAAAGCAGCCGAGAAGCTGGAATTCCTGCAGAGGAACTAAAAAGACATGTAAGATGACTTAACTAAATATGTTTGGAAAGTGGCTATCAAAGAAGAAAAAAAACCTAAGAAATTCAAAAATTAAGCTGTTAAGGCTTTGATTCAACCTTGCTTTGATCGCTACAGTGAAAAAGAAAATCACATGTGAAATCACGAAATCAAATCAAGTTTAACAGGAGGAAGAAGTAAGAGGTAATGAAGTAGAAGGAAGAATTTAAACCCTACATTGCGTTATGCACTTTGTTTTTCCCTTTCTTCCTCTGCATTTGCTATAAGGTACATGTGTTTTTCTTTTTAGCAGTTTCACTTCAGAGAAGATTCTAGTGTTACAATCCTCAGTTGTGTTGTTCTTGTTACATACATTTACTCCTCTGCTATTTGAAATCTTCTTTTCTTTCATGTATCTAATTATTTATTCCACCAACAGCACTGCCTTCTCGTGGGATCAGTTTTCTAACCTAATCTAATCAAATCTGATTTAATAACAGAGCCTATGTGGTGAGGTAGTTTCCATATTTCAGCAAGGAGTGCTGGGTGGCTGTTGTACATACATTCCATCCTGCCGTGTCAGCGTGTATCCGTAGTGGGGATAGTTGACAAAAGACACGTTCACCCCCACCAGAGGGGTTCCATCTGTAGTCAACACCTGACCCCGAATTAGAGATGCCAAGCTGGAAGAAGACAGAGGAGACACAAGTGAGGGGAGCGAAAGTCAGCCTGTCAAACCAGTCTTCCCAAACCATCCATCATCTGATTTGATTAATCTCTCCATCTTTCAATCATCCAATTTGCCCATTCAATTATTGCCCTGCTCTTCCACCACTCATTAATTAGAAACAATCAGCTACCCCCACCGTCTAGATGAGCTCGTGTCAATCACGTAAACAAACCATGACAATATAGATGGGATGTGCACGTATTGTTACGTACGGGCGAGAGATTGCATTCTCGAGAACTAATAGACGCAGATTAACATTTAAACATTTCAGGGTAGCGTCGCTTTGATAAGTTATTTTCTTTGAAACGTCCGATGTCAGCATGTGTAAATATATTCGGAGGAAAATCAACACAGTGGACAGCGCTTCACAGCTCTTCTACATCTATGGGGAATCTTGGCTTGCCAGCAATTGGCTGTGGGATTTGTTAAGGTCTTGGCTAGCTGTACGAACCATTTCAAAGTCTATTTGATATTTGTTTTTGGAAATCTAAAGATTGGAAATTTTCCACGGCTCGTATTTTTTCACTTAAATGTCAAATCTTTTAAGATTCGCCTGAAATGCAAACTTGCAGTCATGCACAGTCTCCACACAATGTTACAGTGTTTGCAACACCAACGAAAGACAAAGTAAATGTAGATGATCAAAGCTTTTATCCTGCATTCCTACTTTCATTATTGGCTTGTATTGCTAGTTTGTGGGGCGTAGAACAGTATCACTACACTGTATGTATAGATATTCACTGGTGACTTCATATTATTCTCATATTTTAAAATATGAGATCTGTAATGTTTCTGTGAACGGCTCTTTTGTGTCACAGTCTTAAGATATGGCCTTAGTTGCTAGCGGTTGAATTTCCTGCCATACCTGGAGTTGAACGGGTTTTCCAAAGGGATGATGTGGGTGCTGTCCCGTCCCACAAGCATCTTGACGCGGTCGTAGAAGGAGCGGACTCGTGGCTGGGACATCGGGCTCTGCTGGATGACTAGCAGAGGGTCCCGGGAGCCCCGGCACAGGGGGCTGTTCTGGCAGGGACTCTGGATGCAGCAGTCTGGGTCCATGCAGTCTGTCAGTCCATCTGATAGAAGAAGAGCAATGATAAATGCTCTAAGGGACGCGAAAAAAAAAGAAGAAGCTTTGAATAATCTGTTTCTTTCACTTAGGAAAGTTTAATTTTGCCATCCACAATCAAGGCTCTTCTCAGGAGACCTTAATTTTATATTTTGTTTAATTTATTATTTTCTCCATCATCCTTTATTTCTTTGAAGAAGCAGATTTTGCTAATTGAATTCTTAAGGCACTATACGCCCCCCCACCCAAACTCACCTCCTTCGTTGTCCTTGTTGTCGGCACAGGAGGTCTCCATGGCAACACTGCAACCAGGGCCCCTCCACCCCGTCTGACATTCACAATGCCAACTCTGCTGGCCCATGGTGCACTGGCCGTTACCGTTACACAAGTTAGGACAGCCATCTGTGAGAAGAGGACAGGACAGGAGAGGAGAGAGGGAGGGGGGGAGGGAGAGAAACAAGGTGATGTTTGTTTTATCATTAATGATGCACAGATGAAAACACACACACGCACGCACAAACACATGCACGCACACATATGCTCATATGGTAATGATAGATCAATGAGTCACACTCAGTGTGGTAACCAAATAATGGTAGCATACTGCCAGTGCTGATTGTTCAGGAATCAATTCCAATCAGGAGGTCAGTTTCCATGCACACCTTTCCATCTTTATGTCTCTGCACCTGAGGGATGCCTCCTAGTATGTGTATATGTGTGTGTGGACCGAGGTGGATAGATCACTTTATTCACTTACTGGATGGAGCCCAACCCGATCATCTCTCTCTCTTTCTCGGGTGCAGTTTCACGCTCTCTCTCTTACTTATGATTCAGTGTAGGTAATGGGATTCTGATGGCCTGAGAGTGATGCTTTCTCATGAGAGAATGAGATTATGCTTGACAGAGTGTGTGCGTGCATGCGTGTGTCTGTGTGGTGGCAGTCCATGAACTAATAAACCTTCGCTTCGGCGTATGCAAAAAACCCTTACCAGAATCTACGACCCTGGAGCCAAGTAAGTTCTGTAACTAGCATAGCAAGGGCACCCTCAACTCAGGAGTGACTTTAAGGCAAGGCTGAGCGGACGTTTTGAGGTGCTCTGGATAAGGGAATTTGCAATTATAGAGGAAAGTGCCATTTTCTCACTTTAATATTATCTGGTAACGTTTGGAGGCTTATATCATATATACATATTTATATATGCTATATATATGTGTATGCTTTATACATGCCATATTTCTCTATGTGAGGCTGTAAACTGCAGCCAGTTATCTTAACATAAAGACTGGAAGCAGGGAAACAGCTAACTTGGCACTTATGTTATAATATCCATCAATCAGTTCTGATAAAACTGCACAAAATAACATGTTATATGCTAAAAGTGGAGTGCGAAAACTTGCATTTTGTCATTTTACAGGAAGGTATGTGTGGGATTATTTCTTGCCAGGCAGCAGAGACTTCCTGGAGTGTTGTGACTGCGTGTTGGCCAGGAATCCAGGAGAAAATCCAGAAAGTTATAGCGCTATAGGGCACAAACAAGCCTCATGTATAACCCCGTGTAATAAGTTGTTTTGAATTCAATTAATTAATTTTTTTTGTATAGTGCCAAATTACAACAATCATCTCAAAGTGCTTTATATTGTACGGCAAAAACCCTACAATAAGACGACCCCAACAATCAGATGACCCCCTATGAGCAAACACTTGGTGACAGTGGGAAGGAAAAACTCCCTTTTAACAGGAATAAGCCTCCAGCAGAACCAGGATGGGGGGGGGGGGGGGCATCTGCTGCGACTGGTTAGGGGTGAGGGGAGGAAGACAGGACAAAGACAAACTGTGGACCAGAGTGAGACAGTTTTGCACATTGTACAGCGAAGCTAGCTTTTTCCTGGCTTGATGCTAATCTTAGCCAAATGGCTGGTCGTTCGTGATGAACAGATAGGCCTGAGACTACATCAATTTTCCACAAAATGTTCATTTCTTCCTTTTAACTGACTCCTATATTAAGACAATTTCACCAAATTGGGACCATTTAATATCTCCTAAATGCCACAAAATCAAAACTTTTCTTAAAAAATCACTCGATTCCATTTGATAATTTGCACCCATGCTGAGACAACGTACCCCATCAATCCCATTTAAAGGGAAAAAAAAGCCTTTAACTCCTGGCTTCCCTTACATCTTTTCCGTATCTTTCTAAATCCCACCTCTCTAATGCAAAACTGTCTGTTTGCCACATTATAATCTATCAAGGAGGGGAGGGGTGGGGAAAAAAAAGGCATGATGACACACAATGACAATGTTTTCTCCAGCAGCACAAAGAGCCCCAAACAAACTTGTCACAGTGATTTCCTCTTAAACAAATGAGGGAGCGGGGTGCGACACTCTTAAGTCTACCCACGGGAGACGAAGGCAAAGAAAAGGGTTGACTGATAAAACAATACGTGCATGCACGAAAAGGCTCTCGCTCGCAAACGCACGCACACGCCTAGCACGACACACCCTGGAGATATGACCTGACATTTCTCACTCGGTACTATTGTGCCGACAGAGTGAGGAAGGACAAAATAACCCAGTAAGAGATTATGAATATGAAATGCTTTTCACTGAGTCCTGCTCAGTAGATTAATGAACATATTTTCACTCAAGTTGCACTGTAGAATTTTGCCCTCTAACAAATCGCTGCATCAATAAAGCCATGCATTATGAATACAAATAGTGCAATCTAAACCGTGGCAGCGGCTAAATTAACAGGCATTTCACCCCGATTGGCATTTTATCATATGTCTCAACCAACAGACGATGAGGGGGGAAAGTCAACAAAGGACTTTTAGAGAAAGACGGCGCACCATCTTGTTTGTGGTGGAAGAGGTGGGGAGCCGGGCGAGCTTAACAACGTTACTCAGTTCAACACGAAGACTCAAATCAAAGGTTTTATCTTTAATTATGACCATTTTCTGCATCAGGGGACTGCTCATGATGCTGTATTAACAGTCAGCCTGGAATAGATTGTCCCCAAGTATTGAGCTCGGGGAACAAAGGCAGTTAGCAGTGATTGCCTGTTAAATGGAGTTGCCATTTAAAAGCAGCCAAATACTTATGAAGCACCCGGACAGGACAATCCATAGCGGGCATTGATTGGCTTGCCTGGGCAGGCCGGCACGAGGCTCCTCTCTCTTTAATGCCAGGACCCAGTCGATACCCCCTCATACTAACTAGAATAAAGTGGGATTTCAGAAACTATTAAGTCCACCCTCCCCAGTAATGTGGTTGGACTCTGATGAAATCCTCCTAAAAAGGAGAAGAAATTGCCTTGGGTTATGGGTGAGCACACACACACACACACACACACACACACACACACACACACACACACACACACACACACATTATGTGGTGTGCAGTGTCTGTGGGTGTGGATGGTGGGGCATATGACTCGAAAGATATCGTGTAGGACTCCAAGGATGAAGTGAGAGGGAGGCAGGCGGAGATAGAGACAGATAGAATGAGAACAAAGTGTATGAAAGAAAGTAAGTCGAGACATTGTACTGAAAAGTTCCACCTTTCTCTCCATTCCCCTTGTACCCAGCTCTGCCTCCTTTAAAGGTCATGAAGTAAAGGTCACAGCCATAAATCCGCGATCAGAGCTCATAGATGGACCAGATAACGCTGTACTTTCTCAAATATACCCCACTTAGCTGCTTCTCCTATTCTTAACAAGCTACCTTTGAAATTACATTGATTGCTTTATCCCAAATTGTTCTTTGACCTGCCTCTCTGCTTCCCTTTGGCTCCGTCTCTTCCTTTTTCTTTTTTTTGCGCCCTGCCTCTTGCTCCCTTTTTAACCCTGCAATTTACCTTTTCTCTGGGTTGGCTCTTCATAAAACAATGAGAGCTATTCCATTAAGCGTAGAGGGTGAGAGGACACTCTCAACGGTGCTCCAGGGACCTGTACTGTCAGGCAATCTGTGCCGCTCCGTGCAACCCGGCAGAGGTTCAGCTGTGGGGCTATCTATTAAGCATTCTTGTTGTGCGTGTGAGACAACTCACCTCAGACCCAAACTCGTCTCTGTGTGTTAACCTCAGCTGTTATTCTGTTTATTATTGAGTGATCTGACTAAACGGCATATTTTTTTGCTTTGGTTTGGTTTTGGCGGGGATGTTGAATATCAGAAATTCTTAAATTAATACTGTAGGCCCTTTCAGTCACACAAGCATAATCAAGCACACACACGTGCACAAAATAAATTTAGCAGCCACTCTGCCATGGCCACGACACTTGCCACACAAACCCAAATGTAAACACACACACACACACACTTAACAGTTCTGTATGTATTTGACACCACATTGAGGACCTGCATCATTGGGTTATGAAATACACCAATTACCTCCAAACTTTTTTACAACTTTCATTATTTTCTCCTCGTGTGAAGCAGATTGTGTTTACACAACACATGAGTGGAATACCTGAGTGTTTTTTTTTTGTGTTTCCAGGCTCCACGTTGGAAATATTAAGGAGAACACGCTCACACGCATGCACGATCACACTTTTCACAGCACAGCCCCTCGACACTGCTGATACCACACTAGGCTCTACGGTACCCCACAACACATCAAGGCTCAATGACAGCTAACCCCTGCTGTAGTCCACTGCTGTAATGGGAGTGCACTACATGTAGGGAGTCATCATTGAGGCTGGAGCCCTAATCTACGGACAGATAGCACCACAGAGTCTACAGAGCCAAGCCAGGCCAAGAACCCACAAATGCAGCAGCTAGCTTCTACCACCACAGGCTAAGAAACAAAACACCAGAGTCAGATACGGTACCTGCTTTGTCAACCATGCTCCCATGGTCTGCAGTGGGAGAAAATGTGCAAAAGGTAAGAGATGGGGAGAGTATTTTTTTTCTGAAAGAAATGCAAGCAACATCATGCAGAGCTGAAATGAATAACAGGCAAGCTGAGATAAGCTAACGCTGAGAGTGTCTGGTGCTAGTGAAGTGTGCTTTGCAACAAGCTGAGGCCTGATAACTCTTTCATCTTGGGCTGATGGTGCAGTCAAAGCTGCCCTACTTTCTGATGGGGGAAATCGGGAGATCATAAACTGTTATTCCCCTGCGCATATGTATGTGCCTATGCGTGTGTAGGTGTGTGCGTGTGTGTGTATATATATATATATATATATATATTGGTGTTTTGTTTGGTGTGTGTGTATCAGATTGCAATCACAGTGCTTTTGGTGACAAGGAAATGAGACTTTGTGTCTCAAAGCACTGACGGTGAATCAAAGGAATCTGGCACTCATCCATCCAAAGTGACAGTGATGTCAATATGAGACAGTGATTGACTGACAAAAACGCTCACTCACACTCTAGCGCAACTGTGTGCATGCACACACCATAAACAAAGTGAGAGTTATTTTTTGATCGCAGTGAGGTGAAGTGGGGATTTTGTTTTGTGCCTTTCATCACATAACTTTGGTGTTTCAAAGGCCATAAAAACTAAAACTCCTGGGGTCTGCAGTTGAGAGGCAGCATAAAACAGCTAAATCCTGCTCTTGTGTAATCTCCCACCCCCACTTCTAAGAAGTTTGCACCTCTTCTCTCTGCTCGCCCACCTTCTACGTCAGCCCCTTCTTCAATTCCCCATGGCCTTCCTCCTGCTTCCACTTCTGATTTCCAAATTCCTTTAAGAAAGTATAAAGGAGCTGCCATTTTAGTCTGACTGGGTGCTGGTGTTTCTGTGCACACCCACGTGTTGACACACAGGCACGCACGTCAAACACACACCTCCAGACACACGCTCACGGGAACACACTCACCGATGGTGCAGTGCTCTCCGTTCCAGCCCTGGTGACACTGGCACTTCCCGTCCTTGCAGGTTCCATGTTTGATGCAGAGAGGGTTGCACACACGCTGGTCACAGCCTGCACCGGTCCAGCCTTCCTCACAGCGACAGGCTCCGCCCATGCACACTCCGTGGGTTCCACAGTCCACTGAGCAGACCTCTGAAGGAGAAAAGATTTGGATCACAAACAAACGGTGCTAGACTCAAAAGTCAGTGTTTCCTGTATTTATTATTTTTAGTATTCTAAAATTTCATATACAGTCACGTGAAAAACCAAATACAGCTCTTGATTCAAAAGCTTTTAACCAATGATAACTTGAAGTAATTGTGTTTTGTATGACTCAGTCGTTCACATTGTTGTGGAGGAATTTTTTTGCAACTTTGCTTCAGTTCATTGAGGTTTGCAGGCATTCATTTAAACTGTCTTAAGGTCTCCCCACAGCTTTTCAGTCGGCTTGACGTCTGGACTTTGACTGGGCCACTGGAGCATCCTGATTCTTTGCTTTTTCAGCCATTCTGCCGCAGATTTACTGGTAAGTTTGGATCACGGACCAGTTTGGGTCAAACTTCAGGTGTTGGAAATTTGACTCTAGACTCTACACAGAGTCATGGGCAACTCAGTGACTACAAGGTGACCAGGTCCTTGTCCTTTCAGTTTGATGACAGGCTTGTTTTGCAAAACAGCCTGAAGTCATCATGCCTCCATCACCACACTTGGCAGTTGATTTTTGGATTTGCCAAACATCTCCACATCGATTCTTCAGTGGAAAAGACACAAGAAGTCTTGTGGTTTGTTCAGATGCAGCCTTTCAAACCTAAGCTGTGCTGCCATATCCTTTTTAGAGAGAAGAGGCTTTCTCCTGGCAATCTTTCTAAATAGGCCAATCACAGTGTTCAGTCTTATTAAGACTTTTTCTATTTGTACTCTCGCAAACTTTAACATTTAACATGTTAACTGAGGTCTGCAGAGTCTGAGATGTAGCTCTTAGTTTTTTTGGAATTCCTCTAAGCATTGCATGATGTGACCTTGAGGTAATTTTGCTGAGACATTTACTCCTGGGAAGATCTGAATTCTCCAGTGCAGGAAACGGCAAAGACGTGCTTTTATAGACGTGCTTATATTTGCAGATGATCAATTAATCCGGTGCATTTGATTAGCAGCTCCAGGCTGCTACTTACCCTCTTTACTCCAATGGAAGCAGTAAGGGTGCACTTAGTTTTTCACAGGAACACATGACTATATGTATTCATAATGGACACTACTGGGCAGTGAACATGGTTGCTGTTCAGATACATATATGATCTTTTTCATGAATAACATAATAGCAAATGTTACAAAGTACCAGTTCCTAACTTGAAATGCCTGTAAATATGGTGGTATCTGAAAAAAATATCTGCAAAAACTTCATTTTCAATCCTTTTAGTCAATTTTTGAAGCTAGAAAACATAAATGTGTCTGCATTTGATTTCAAATCACATCGGCAAGTGCAAAAAGAGAGAACCTTGAGCTTCAAAACAATCAAATCCACATTACATGAAAACACAACTCTCTGTCATGTATTTTTAATTAAAATCAGTAGTTATAGTAGTGCAACAACAGGGTTTATTTCCTGAGCTTCTATTACAGTCGCTGTCTGAGAGGCTCAGATGTTGCAGTCGGCGACAGTGCATGTGGCGAAATGTGACAATCCCGCTTGTGTGCTCAGGACCCCCTGGTGTGCAGGGAACGCGGTATGTACAGACGTTTTGATACACACTTGCTGAGGGATCCTGCAGTGTGAAACAATGTTGTCTTTATTAAAGTTAAGCATTGCTTCTCTCATAACAAATGCTGGAGCTCTCGTCGTGCTCCTGAGGAAGCGTTCCCAGGCTGGCATGACGGAGGTGGCTGTCTTACTTTCTAAAGTGGAAGCTTAACGGCTTCATTTTATTGAGATAAAGAACTGTGAAACCTCCTATCCCATCTTGGTAAACTGTATGTGTTACTATCCGCAGTGCAAGAACACCTCCAATACATTCTTATGAAAGCCTTGGAACTAGCATGCCATTATCTCCGCGGTACTAGAATCACAGAATTGGCTCCCAGAGCAATACATAACCAATTAAAAAAATTCTGATAGTAATCACGAAGGCTTAACAAAGTTAGGATTCCTACCTCATTTCTGAGTAGCTCACTGAATGCAGCCTAATCATACCTCTTGGGTCATACAGTCTTTCGAGTCTACAAGATTAAAAAAAGTTTTACTTTGGCCTGAACTGAGATGTGTTACAGCTACCTTGTTTAAACATTATAAATTTCAAGTGCTTGTATTTTCTTATTGGCTGACCCTATAAACAGCAGGTCTGAACAGCAGGTGGGCGGGGCTTCTGCACTCAAACAGTGTATCCAACATGACCGTATTTGGATCATTAAGGAGTTTCGAGCAGTTTGAAGCCCAAGCTTTTGGTTCGTAGATGCAACTTATACATGCTCTGAAAGCCCAGCCATGTTTAATATGTGTCAGAACACAGGGACAGAGTCATTTTATTCATATTCCTTTTATGCAAAACCCAGAGTACTGTAGTTTGGTATATAAATAAAAGTGTTCTGCCTTTCCCAAATTAGGATTTTAAGCACTACCCTGATAACCATAAAAATCTGTCATTACCATACTGTCACTGACAGTCTACTGAGAGAGATAATTTTATATAGTCTTGATAGTACAAACTTGCCACATTTTTATTCCTGCATGTTCCAATTTGGCTTCGATACCACAACAGTTGTTGTACCCTGTTTCTGAGCATGTTGTAATTTTTTTTTATTTATTTTTTTTACGATTTGGTAGATTTGGTCCAAGTGTAGCTCGAAAACCAGAACAGTATGAAATAAAATGGCAAACTAATTAGCCATACTGGGACCGCGAAATATGTTTGGACAAAGGGTAATCAGCAGTTATTTCTTTCCAACTTTCAAACCCACAACCCCCATTTTTACCCGATGTATCTGACTCTCGCAGCTGAACCAGCTTTACAATCACACTCACCCATGGAGCAGTCGGGTCCCATCCAGTTGGGGTCACAGCTGCACAGCCCAGTGTCTGGTATGAAGGCACCGTGGCCATGGCACTGATCTGGGCACTGGGCCCTGGGCAGTTCGCAGTGGAGTCCTCCCCAGCCTGGTTTACAGTGGCACTCCCCGTTCACACAGATGCCATTGTTGGAACATGTTGGATCCATGCAGTCCACTGGATTAAGCCAGCAATACACCAATTTAAAAGAAAAAAAGCAGAAAAAAAGAAATTAACAAACAAACTAAAAAATGTCATTACAGAGCTGACGACAAAAACAAATTAATGGTTGTTTTTTAAAAAAACAGACGTGACAGAGGACATCATTTCACTCTGTGTTTATAAAAAGATAATGAAATAAAGTAAAATGTTACCAGACGTATTACTAAAGCAATTAAAGCACACGATAATGAATAGCTAAGTCTATAATTGGGGCACAGCAGCAAATGCGTTCCACTCTGAAAGAGCAGTGCGCTTCGCTGACACATCATTTGGTGTGAGCTTTTCGCCCGTGTGGATGTAGAAGTGTGTGTGTGGTTGATTTGTGTGTATGCGTGTATCGTGCCAATACACGGGGAGAATCTGACACTGTCAGTCTGCCAGGTTGACAGGCAGCTCTGAGTCCAAGCAGTGAGTGAAAACCAATTTGACAAATTACCTCCTCCCGGCAATACGCACACCCATCCCACCCACCCACTCGCTCGCCCGCCCCTTCTCAGGCCTCCTCGCAATTGCTCTGTCCCGGTCACTCGCATTTTCCTCTCTCTCTTTCTCTCTCATCTTGTCCTCTTCTTTGTGACACTGCTCTCCCCACCTCCACCTCCTCCCCCTTTTTCCACCACCTCGGGCATGATTGACCCCGGCGCACACGCAGTATTAATAAAAGCAGCCCCCTCGCACACAACCTCGACCCTCCATTTCTGTTTGCCTGGCAGAAATGGCGGATCACAGTTATCGATTTTCATGTCGCTGGCACTTCAGGTAAATTGTTTGAGGGACTCTGCTGTGATGAATATCAGATTTGAGGCTGGAGTAGAAGGGGAAAAATTGGATGAGAGGGAGATCGGGGATCGGCGGGGTGGGAGAGAAAAATGAAGCGCAGAAGAGAGAAAATGCTGACCTTGTTCTCAGGCCCCATGTTTTGACTCTTTCTGCCACTCATCTCTATTCTTCACTTTGCATCTCCCTCTCTGCCGATCTTCTTCTTCACCCCTGGCGTGCTGCTTTCTCTTTTCCTTCTTCTCAACCTATTCTCTCTTTCTTCATACATATTCACCTCTCACCACCCTGACTCCAGCTCCCTCCTCAGCATCTTTTTATCCCTTTATTTTTTCTCCCTTGCTTTCTGATGACTACGATCGCGGCGTGCTGATCCTTCTTAACAAAGATCAATAGAAGCGATTTCAGCCCTTAATAAAATCTGTGATATGTTTGGCTGCGCCATCATACTTCATCTGTATACATGGACGCTCAGTCAGCGTAAGATTATGCCATGATAAGCTGTCTTCACTGGTGTTAGAAGGGGTAAATCTGTGAAGTTTGTTGTGCTTCACCTTACTTTCAAAGCGATCACACAGAACAGTTTTAAAGAAAAAAAAACAAACATGCACCATTACACCTCCTGCGCTCACCCTCTGCACAGTTTGGCCCTTTGTAACCGACGGAGCACACGCAGTTTCCATCAGTGCAGGTGCCGTGGCCGCTGCAAAGAGGGTCTATGCACTGTGTGACAGGGACGTCGCATTCGGGTCCTTTCCAGCCGCTGTAACACACACAGGAGCCCTTGTCGTACTGGCCGTTGCCGCTGCACAGGACCGGGCATGCCGCTGTAGGAACAGAGAAACGGAGAGATTAAACCCTGCGCATAAGAACAAACCAAACAAACAAACAAAGAAAAAAAAAACAATTAGCAAGCTTTTTAAAAGATCGCCAAAGCGGCGAAAAGTGCACGTCGCCCACCCACGCAGATCCACATCCCACCGTGCAGGAGGGTTGAATAGAGTGGCTAAGGGGCTGGAGAGCGCCAATGACATGAAGAGTAATTACAGGCAGAGGTAACTAAACTATTCATCAAAGCTGTCTACCCCAGGTGAGCACAGAGCCAGGGAGTCGTTAGCTAGGGGAGCTGCCATTCATCATCAGTCATCTTGTCTCAGCTCCACCTAAGGCCATGCACCATCTTGCTACTCTTAATCCTCTTCTCCTTTTTTTTATGTTTTATTTTTGCACGAAGCTGAAATGTGTCTGCTCATCTAATTAGACAGCGGAAATGACAGATTTTTTTTTCCTTTTCATCCTTGCTCCGACGGAAGAAGCGCATTCGTAAACAGCTAATACCTTTGGAGCAGTCCATGCCATGGAATCCTGGGAAGCAGTGGCACACACCAGAATTACACTCTCCGTTGCCATGGCAATTGCGCGGGCACTCTTGCACTGAATCTGTGAAGAAGATGAAGTGAGACAGAGAGAGGGAGAGGCGAGGGGTGAGACAGTGTGACGGCAAGCATCAAAGCCTTCCATTAAACCATTGGCACAATTCATTCTTTAAGATACTACAAATTGAGTCGAAGCGCTGCCGAGTCTCACAGTCGCACAGACATCAAACGCCCTCCTCCAAGATTCCATGAGTTTCTTTTTTGTCTGCATTTTTCATAATGTGGCAGGAATGTATTATGAATCAGCCATTTTGACGAGATGGGATCCACCAATGCTCCGCTCATAGAAAACAAGAGTATCCCCCTCCACTCTCCTTCTTTCTCTTCGACCCTTTTCTATCCATGGCTCACTTTCTCACTCCTCACTCATGTCCGGCCCCACCGAGGTCACTAATATTTCATCAAGCTGCGGATGTTTGGTGCAGCTAGGCCAGATTTTAGCTGGACTCTGAGCTGCTCCATCTGCCTTCTAACCTACTCACTAGAAATGAGAAACAGTTTGGTGGGAAGGAACGGGGTCGGTGCTAATCATAATCACAAGGAGGACACTTGGACTTTTATCCTCTCTGTTCTATATGCTTCTTCCAACTTCCACCCTTCTTACACAAAGAATGACACAGCCAAGCCTCACTGCTTCTCCTAACACTTCCCCTACTCCATGCACCCCCCCCTAAATAAAAAAAAAACTAAAGCCCCTCGCCTCCCTCTTTACCCTAATGCCACCCTCTCTTCCATTCTCCTCTTCAGCTCCTCCTCCCGTCCTTCACTCCACTTCATCCCATTCTGGCTTTGCCCCTACCATTAGGCCTTTCTTCCAACTCCCCCTCTAACTACTCCACTCTCATTCTGCCCCTGCCGCCTCCGCCTCTCCATCTCGCCACTACTCCAACTGCTGAAAGCTCTACCCCTCCGTTATTGACAGTGAAGGATTCTTTCACTCCGCTTGACTCTTTCCATCCAACCCCGCCTTTTGTCCTTTTGTTCTCCTTTGGCTCGAATGCAACCGAAATTATCTGGTTAGGATCCTAAAATCATTCTGTTTACAGGGCCGTGTGACACTGTGGTCCTCACCCACCTCAAAGATGAAGGTTGTTTAATGTAAGTGTGTGGGTTTTTTTTGTTTTTTTTTGTCACACTGTTGGACATATTAGCGTGCCCAACTATGTTTTGGCAAACGTACATTTTTAACTCACTGAGCAGTCTTTCCTACTTGACAATGTTACTATGGTTGTGTTGCATTGGCAACATTGTTCACATGCTGCCGGGGAGCATTTTTGCACGTCGTGAATGTGTAAAGTCACAGAGTAACTGATGGGGAATCTATTTGACTAAAATAGCAGCCTTGCTTTGCCGCCAGTGGTAGAGAAAGTTTCTGCGTGCCTCTCTCTAACCAGCTCCTAAAATCCGGTGCCTAATCTCATTTTCACTGCCGTTCTGCTTTTCCCTGCCGCGCTGCCACCTCTCCGCCCACAGCGACAGATGCCGACTCTGTCTCACCCATGACATTCGTGCTGAAGGAAACCGTCTCTCGCTCCCGACCGTCGTTGTAGAAGGCCAGGTGCCAGGCACCGGCGTCCAGGTACTGGACAAACACCGCCTCATTGAGGACCACGGTTTGGATACTCCTCCTCTCCCGTGGAGACTCCACCACGCTCCACTTCTCCTTCCCATCGAGGCGCTCCATATAGTCGTACTGCAGAGGAAAACGTGTGAGAGCAAGTTCACTTTTTCAGGCTTCAGAAAATGAGGCATGGTTTTATATGCTTGAGGAATTTGGTAAATAAGATAGCTGGCAAATGACAGTGAAGCATGAGGAAGGGAACACAAAGCTCCTCGCAGGGTTTTCTTTGGGTGTCTGTGTGCATTGCAGGGGAGTGTTTTTACACTTGCCCCGACTGTGCAGTTTCCCCAGCTGAAGTCAGGTCAGGCAGTGAAACAGCTATCTGAATGCAATTATCCCTTCCTACAAATCGAATCCATTGTTAATGGAGTAGCTTCTAATTAATAAGAGGCAGTAAAAGTTACATTACTGTGAAATTTAATTAAGTGTAAATCTTAGTCTAAATTAGTTTTTTCAAACAACTATTACAATGAATCACAAATGAATTTTAAGATGTCCCAAGAAACAAGCCCATTTCTTTCTTTCTTTCTTTTTTAAAAATACATTCTCCACTCAGATGAATATGAAGATTATTCTTTCATTATGATGGTCCTTGTACAGATTTTACCTGCGCATGCGAAGGAGGCAAGCCCTTGCGGATGTACACCCCGAAAAGGGCATCTTTGCCGAGGGAGATGTTGAACTTCAGGAACTGTGGTTGGCTGAGGTGGAGCAGGGACCTCCAAAACACTCCCGGAGGGACTTCTTGGGTCACCCGCCTCCCAACCTCGATGCTGCCTGAGTCTATACTGCTGTTCCGGCCTGCCCATGGACCTGGAGCAAAGGGGAAAGAAACTGCATAATCTGTGATTCCAGACATTGATTGGTACAGTCAATAGTTAATCATCGCACTTTAATGGGAATAACCTGGCACAAACATTGAATGGTATAGAGGACACGCACCATTAGCTGTGCAAACTGTTCAAAGTTTATACTAAAACGAACGCTGTTAGGCGCGATATGCGGGATGCAAAATGACGCCTCTGTATCAAAGCCTGCACGACTGTTGACTCTGTTGTCTGGGCTGAAATGATAGAGGGCTGATAGAACTGCAGAGCACAGATTTCCAAGCAGACAGGCCCGCACACAGAAACATCCTGCAATCAGGTCAGTCATCTAACAGCACAATGTTGGAGCCCAGAGAGGGAAAAGACAGCAATGTGAGCGCGCGTCTGTGCGCAGAATAGCAAAGAAATAAAAGTAACAATGTGGAAAAACAACAGCGGCATCTGGCCCAGACAGTCACACACACAGCAGTCCTCTCATTAATACAGAATACAGACACAGAGCAGCAGCCCACAGATACCTATAGTACACGCTGTGTATGTTGCAGAGCGAGATTGAGCAGGCGAAAGAAGAATAGATGGAAAAAACCGCATGGGGGCCTTTAAAGAGAGGGGGTGAGCGAGGGGAGCTTTACCTCGCTGCTGACTGAAACCCAGCTCAACACAACTCAGCAGAGTGGTTAAACAGCATACACAGACAGCACAGCTACTACTGCGTCATGAATTATAGAAATAATTTATGTGTGCGAGGCTGTCTGGTTGGGAGGGAAAAAAGAAGCTATTGGGCTGTTTTAGTATTTAACACAGCAGATATAGCATTTATAAGCCATAAAAGATAAGGCTGACATTCTTCTTGTTTGCAACAAGAGATGTGGCAGTCTGTCCTTCAAAACTTTCTGACTTTCCTGCAACGAGTGGTGCATTCAGCCTCAAGCCAGCTAAGCCATAAATATTCACAAATGCATTAAAAATACTAAAGTCACTTCTGTTGATTCATTTTACGCAATTGGCATGCTAATTAGGATGCTGCTTTAGAGAAATACCTCCACAATGGTATAAAAAAAAATGGTGGAAGCGATTTAAAATAAACTCCAGCGTCCCCCTCATCAAAATGAAGGAGCACCAGAGCTCTGTGGCAGAAAGAAACGAGTAGGCTTTGGCTGCACAAACAGCACTTGTTAGGATCTATTTATTGTTGAATTTGTTATGTTCACGAGGTCTGTTGCTAGGGGAAAAACAATGCAGAACATTAGCAGCCTTAACCTTTAAGTTTCTTTTTTCTTTTTTTTCCAAACATGTAAAGTGCCTGCTTCTTCAGGCAAAGACGTGTGGGAGGGGTGCGTGTGTGTTGCAGTTCATACCTCTCCCTCCAGAGGGCAGTGTGGCCACATCGCTGTTGACAGGCAGACCAGCTCCCAGTCCGTTGTTCAACACGGGGCCATCGGATGGCTTCAGCTGCCACGTCAAACCCAGCAAGTTGATTGCTGCACGCAGAGAGATGAAGAGTGAGGATATAGGGGAGGAAAAGGAGGATGGAAATAAATAAATAAATAAATGAATAAATAAATGAATGAATGAATGAATGAATGAATGAATGAATAAAAAGCCCAAGATGAAGGCTCATCAAGGCGAAGAAATATGAGGCCAGCCCTCTTAAATCTGATCTGTCATTTAGACAGCAAATCCTGTAGCATCAATAGAATCAGCCACTTCTATATTTAAGTCATGAATCAAACGCACGGTCATCAGAGTGGCGGGTTTAGTTAACAGGCACACAAACAGAGGTAAAATCTTACAAATCAGGCAATTAAACCACCTTCCCAAAAAATCCTTCTCTGTTTTTGCTTTCTTAACCCCCGACCTCTCGTAGCCATCTTTCACGGGGAAAGCATCTTCAGCTTTTATTTGGAAGCCTTTACACCGTCTCACAGAGAGCAAGTGACAGATTGCTCTCTGAAGAGAATGCTCTATGGCTCTCCTTTCGCTTCTCCTCTTCTTTTGTCCTCTGTTGTGTTATTGTGTGCTGGTGGTATAAGGCTGCTCGAGTGTGTTCGCTCTTCACTTTGTCAGCTCTTTACTCTCCCCACGTCTCTTCCCTCCTTAGCCTGCTGCCAAGCGTCTCCTCCTCCTCCTCCTCCCCATCCAACTCCCCCTCCTCCCCCCAAAAAAAACTGAAAGAAAAAAAGGAAACAGAAAGACCGTACTGCAAAAGTTCAGCGATTTATTTGGTGACAGGTATGTTTTCTGTTTGTTGTAAATGATTTGTTTTGATCTCTTTAATGCCTTCAAAGAATCTTTGTAGTGGGGAGAAAAAAACGGAGATGAATCGCCTGCTCGCGTCTGAATATCGAAGATAACGTTAATGTTAACGGCGGAATGCACCAGCATTTTCCCGCGTATACGTGAATACTGTGATGTGAGCTTTGATGATACACGCAGCACGAATCTGTGATCGAGTCCAATGCATTACGTAGGCGCTATCGCACGCTTCTCAGCGTTGGCCTTATCCCCACCGCAGAAACCTCACAACACCTGAATCCGAAGCCCGGGAATCAATTTCCTTCTTGTCAAATTCTATCTCTGCTTGCCGAGCGTTTGCACACACAGGGGCCGGGAGTGTAAAAGTTGCAGAGGGAAGGGGATGCGCCTTTAGGATTCGCTGCCGGGGCAGACTCATTCTCACCCCCTAAAGTGTCCCGTCGCTCTTTTTCTCTCACCCTGCTTCTTTGTTTCTTCCTTTTTATGCTTCTGCTATTCCCCTTTTCCTCCCTCCCTCGCTCCTGGTCAAAAGAAAGCGCTGACACCTTTGGCTGCTGCCCGGCCTCCACTGTCAGCTCTTTTTTATTTTTCATGTGTGAGGGTGGTGGTGGGGGCGTGGGGGTATAGAAAACAAGAGATGGATTGGGAGAAGCAAAAAGAGTGCTCCCACCCCTTTCTCTTTCCCCTGCTACACCAACTCTTGCCCTCTCCTCTTTCATTGGGCTGACCTTCATTTCTCTCCTACTTTTCCTTTTAATTCCCCTTTTTTCTTCCTTCGTTTCGTCTTATCTCTGCCTGTCCCTTCTTGTAGATAATGCAGACATGCATCCACACACACACACACACACACACACACACACACACACACACACACACACACACACACACACAGGTGCGCGCAAAGATGGTATCAGAGGGAGCAGTCGATTGAAAGCTTGCCTATTGAACCATCTGGAGACAGTAAGCAATTGTGAGTCTATTGTGACGGCACTCTCAATCTAGGTCATCCCCAAGAACACACATAGCAGACAGCCCTATAGTTAGCTTACTGTGTGTGTCTCATCATTGTGTCGGTGAGGGTTGGTGCACACTTTTCTCAAATTTGTTTTTCCTGTCTTGTTTTTTTTCCCCCTTCTTCATCTTCTTCTTCTGTGGGTGGTTGTGGAAAGCTGACCAATAGATGGCACACTTACTCCTTAGCGACAGAAGCGCAAAAGCCAACAATTTGTCAACAGGATTCTTTTGCAGCAAGACACAGAGCAGGAGAGACGTGCAAAAGAAAGAAAGAAAGAAAGACAAAGAGAGACACTTGTTATCATTCTCTTTACAAGTGCCATCCCTTATTTCAACAACACTTCTAAGTTTGTTAGGGTGTAATTTTAGCTGAAATGAAACTGCTGAAATTGATGTATTTAGCTTTGTGTTGCCATAATTTTAAGCATTTTCTTTTCTGATCATAATTGCCATAATTACTGTTTTCAAACTGGATTGGAAGGCTTTATTAAATACCATGCCAATAAAGCCTATCTGAATCAGATCCGACTGACAGACTTGGGAAGAACAAGAGCGATAGTCAGACTTGGGCTGTTTTTCTTTTTAATCTCCGTCTTCTCACTCATGTTCAATTTGACAGACACACACACACACTGCATATACGCACACATAGAAAAGATCACAGAGAAGCAGGTTTAACAAGCAAACGAGTCAGATTAAAAATAGATCAGTTGCTCCGTGAGGTTTTTATGTAATCTCGATGCATAATTCAGACAGGCAAAGTGCTTGCCAGTATCATCTGCAAAGAACAGCGTCTGAAGAAAACAAAACGTGATCCTGTGATGACAAAAAAAAAAAAAAAAAAAGGACGGAGGATGATGGACGGAGAAACAAGAGAGATGAAAAGGGAGAGGTGGTGGCCGGGCTCGGAGAGGGGGCAGCGGTCAGGAGCTCTTAGAGAAATTGTGCCAAACCTCAGCACGGAGGAGGAGAGGCATGGGGGGAACAGAGAGAATACTGGAGGACAGCGAGAACTGAGAGAATATTAAAGAACACATGAAATCCCCTGAGGAAATATAAAAAAGAGGAGCAGAGAAACAGGCTACACATGATGTTGCAGAAAAAAAAGGGAGGAAGAGATGAATAAAGGCCCCCACGGATAAAGTGAGGAAGGGGGAAGAAGATGGCAAGTGAGGAGAAGAAAAGATTTAAGGGATAAGTGGCCCCGTATTCATTGACTGGTTGGGTAAAAAAAAAAAAAGGATGGTGGTGATTCATCCTTTGACAGTAAGTGGTTCACAACACGGGCAATCAGGCAGAAATACAACGCACATGCGCATGTTTTGGGAAATATTTATATATCTCAGAGTTAAAGGGTGTAAATGGATTTCTGGATGAGAGAAGGAAAGAGAAGGAAAATAAAGAGCGAGGCAGAGATGGAGAAAGGTGACTTTGCAGCGAGTGTCCCCTGACTGGAAAATATTGTATCATCATCATTCTGTTCTCTGGAACATGTTCCAAATGTTCAAATCCTCTCCCCACCCCTCTTTCTCTCTCTATGCTCTTATGTCTCTCACCCTTTTCTGTCTCAACTCAACCTTATCATTGCCTGCTTAAAAGCCAGTGTATCCCCGCTGAACCATTTGCGATGCTCCTAATTGCTCAGAAGCCGGAGAACGGCCTCTCGCATGTTGTCGCATGTTGTCGCATGTTGTCGCATGCAACCGCACGCAACGCAACCAAAATTGCACAAAGAACACAAGCCCTGGTCGGTGGCAACACTTTTTTTTCTCCCCCCATTTCGCCTTCTCCCCTGGCCATCCCGATAAATGCATATTAACCGTTTTAATTCACCACTAAATTAACAACTCTGACCTTAATTAGGGCAGTAATTGTAGACCACCTCCCCCCCAACTCACCCCACCATCCTTAGTCTGCCTTTTAATTGGTTTAGGAACCCTTTTCCCAGCCTTTCTACCCCCCCTGCTTTCCCCACCTTGCACACTCCTAAAACATACATGCAAAAAAAGGAGCCACCTGAGAAAAAAAAGAGGCGTCTGTACCTCTGCGGCACAGAGGTGCAGTGCTGCTAATATTGAAGAGACTGAGGAAAAGAGCAGCATGCCGCCTCAGGTTCTCAATATTCAGGCCATTTGGGACGTTTTCTCAGAATTTACCACACAGTATCCACTTATGTAATCTATAAATAAAGCAGCCTTCTCTCTTGGCTAAGTTTTGAAGGCGCTGCTTGCTGAGATCATTTAGAGCCTCAGACAGAGGAACGGGGGCGGCGGTTGGCTGCTGCCCTTGGGGGTCATATACACTGAGAGACACAATTTGTCTGCTTCTGAGTGTGTATCTGCGTATGCATGCTGAAAATTGCATGGTATTAACAACAAGCGCGCACGCACGCTGCAACCCCCGACGGGACCTTCTCACCCAGCTGATGCAACTGAACTGTAATTGACTGCAACACAAAAGGTTATGCGAGTTGCTGGCAGCTCCTACCTGCACGGCTGTGTCTAGCCGAGAGAAACGGCAACTCACTCAATCACACAGCTGAAAATGGTTTCTTTATTGGCACCGAAATATTGAGACGGCCCGGCGCAGACGTAGCCGCCCGGCGCGCGTGTGGGTGCGCGTGTGCGTGCACGTGTGTGATTGGTTAAATGAAAAGAGATGTGAATCTGAGTGATGTCCTCCTTTCTGAATCCTCATTTCCTCTTCAGATATCTCTACCCTGACCCCCCCGCCGCTTTACTCCCCCCAGCAACATCAACCCACTCTGCCTCGTCTCATCCCTCCCTTCCTACCTCGCTCCTTTCCCTCTCATCGATCTGTATTAGAAACAGGATATGAGGAACTATGCTATCTTATCACAGATCAGAGAGTGGGAGAGAATGAGTGAGGACGAAAGACAGAGAAAAGAGTTCGCTGTGGAGGCCAAGAGACGGAGAAACCGAAAGAAAATGAGAGACGGAGCGAGAGGATAAAAAAAAGGGAGGACAGCAATTTCTTTTCGCTTTGCCTTCATCCATCTCCTGTTTCCAACACAGTACCAGTGAAGCACCATAGGCCTAATTGGACTAACGATTGAGGCCCCGATAAGACCCGCACTAATGAATAAATGAATGAGGAAATAAATGAATGAAATGAGCTCGTGCACACTAATGCACGAGACGGTATGAACATCGCTCAGCAGTGACATCACTGAGGATGCAAATCCTCAGTT